GCTAGCAATTAGCATTTTGGTTCACTAATAGTTAGGTTTTGGTGTCTGGAAGGAAAATTATGACAAGAACAAAAAGATCTTGACACTCAACAAGAGTCAGTACAGGCTAATGGGGATTTTTTTTTTTTTGTTCCATGTGTAGTTTTTCTTTTTTTTCTTTTTTCTTTTTTATTTTAGTTAATGGATGGAAAGACCTTTGAAATCTGCCATAACTTACTTAACAGTGTAAAGTATCATGAAAAGTATTTTTTCTGTCGCAGATGGCTTGTATTTCAGTACATTTATGTATTTCAAATCACCAAACACATTTTAAAATCAGAAAAATGTATCCTGAATTTATATATAATACAATTTCCCTACCAAATGACAGACGTTTCTCCTATGTTCTGTGTTTTCTACATCGTTAGATTATGGCTATTTTTATTTATGCGTTAATCAAATGCTTTAGAAATGTTTTTGTAACTCTTTCCAAACTGATAGATACCAATGACATTGTTTCTCATGTGTTCTTAAGGCATGAAGTTTCCATTTAAGTGATTATTTGGTGCTATACAGTAGTCAGCATTTAGAAATAAAACAAAAACATGATTAATCTGAGCTAATCCATGATTTAACACGGGGAACATGTAATTGTTTCATGTTGGACTGTGGAGATTTGGATCAATTTTTCTTGCTAATAAATAAACCATAACTTTGAATCTGATGTTTATTTTTATTAGGTCATTTTAAAGGTCATCCAAAACACTGAGGTTTGACAGAAAAAGCAAATACATCTGATATTTGTAATGAGATGCACACAGCACTCCCAAAACCAATTTGACTAAAATTAAAAACGAATTTGGATGCAATTAAAAAAAAAAATAAAAAAATAACTACAATTGTAATCTTTTTGAAAACATACTGTCTACAGACATTTTCTCTTTACATTTATCTCCACAAAGGGGCCTCAGCCTCTACGATGGCCCGATGGAAAAAGGGAAAAATACATGCACTCATGCACTTAGGGGACAAGAGATGTTCGCTATAAATAGTTAGCGAGCTTCACCCCATCAGAGCTGAAAGGTGGACTCCATTTAATTTAATTTTCCATCACAGTTATGCCTCTCTTCTCCGTTTCTTTGTTGCGTGCTGAGGTCGTAGTCCTAATCTCAAACAAACAGACAAAAGGAAAAGTCTGCTTGGTATGATGAGTACGTCTGCAACCTATGTCTGCGCACCCGTTCTTCTTTCTGTTTTTTTTTTTTTTCTCTGGCGATAAGACGTGGTGCATTTATTGGTTTGTGTTGTTCTACTTTCTTTTCCTCACGGGTAGCGAGGCAGAGGAAGACAGCGCTGCATCGCCTACGCTGCACGAACAGAGACAACCTCCTCCTCTCCAGAGCACTCCACATCTCTTACGGCTAGATACGTCACAGTCACCTTTGTCTAACTGCCCACGCAGTTAACTCAATATTCTTTAACAGAAAATGTGGCAGATTGGACAGTATATTCCTTTATGCAGTACTACCAAAGGAGATCCACTTTTGTAATGATTTTTGTCTCTATGAAATCACACTGGCCCTACTAACTCCTTACGGGTAGGATTGCGATGTTTTCCAGCTGACAGAGGCTGAGGCCTCCGGGACGAGGCTGCCAGTGTTTTCCCAGGCGGCAGAGCATATTGGCGGCCATCTGGCTCTCTGTGAGCAGCGTTCAGCCTTCACACTGCGCCGGCTTGCCCACCCATTGAATCCAGAGGCACTGGGTGCCTATAGCCCCCCAAAGGCCCAGCGCCTCTCTTTTGTTTTGGCTCCCAGAGTTAAAACTTAAGAAAACATACAAAATTTTGACTGCTGGTAAAGTTGCAGATCAAATGGAGTGTTGATGAAATATTCATGCTATTTCCCTCTTTTTAGATTTTACCACTGTTTGTTTCATGAATTTAGGTCTTTAAAAGTAAAAAAAAATAAAATAAAATAAAAAAAATCAAAGCAGGAAGGGCACAAATTCCTGTCACTCTGAGAATAATCTGTCGGTTGTCACATCGTATGACCAAAACATGAAATGACTGATATTCCCCCAGACGGCCTCCTGACGAGCAAGATCCATTCTCTTAAATGCGTCGCCTCCAGGCATGTGCAGCGTTACGTAATGAAGCCGCACTGTGAAATCCATGTGTTACAGCGAACTACAGTGTTCTCAGTTGTACGTCTTCTGAGGATGCATGAATGTACAATGGAGCATGAGTTCTTAATTCACTGCGATGCTAAAGTAGACACTCAACCATACACAAATGCTAATGACAACTGAGAAATACTGAAGTCAAGGAACCTCTGAATGTTAGACTTTGGATCTTTACTGTGTGGTTTTATACATGCAGAAAGCGAATTTAAAAAATGTGGATTGTATATAATCTGGCAAGCAAGCATTTATATTGGCAAGCACATATAGTCCATCAAAGCTATTAAACTGTTGAGGTAAAGCCGCTACGGAGCTTTGTTCCCAAAAATATTTTTGGGAACATCATCATGTTTTAGGTCTTCAAACAAAGATAATCTGGGTAAATAAGAACATGGTTTTTAAGTCATAGAGAAATGGATATGTAAACCTACACGACTCTATGTGAAAATGCCCCTGCTGACAGCTACAGCTTTGAGTCAGTGCTTTCACTCTGCAGCTCTAAAAGCATCATTCTTTCTTTTTTAGATATTTGAAGTTGGACTTGCCACTGGTGGTGCTTAAGCTTTTGGTCGCAAAGTGATTAGTAGACATTTTCTTTCAGGATTTTCAGCTAGAGAACATAATACAAGGTTTCATCAATTACAACAGGTTGTGAAGGTCATGAAGTGGCAAAGCAGCCCCAGAGTATCAAACTACCAAAATGTTTCAAAGATAGTTTATTTTCAGAAGCTATGTGATAATTTCACATCAAACGTAACAAATAATTACCGTTAGCAAAGTTCTACTTTTATTTTGTTCACCTACAAAATATTTTCTCCACAATCTTGGAGATCTTCATGATGATTTTTTTGTTTGTTTGTTTGTTTTAAAAAGCTCAAAAACTTTGTAATCCTTTTGTCAGTTTGCATGACCATGAGTACATCTGTCTGCTTAGGTCTTAATTTGTCTGAGCTTCACAAGTTCAGATCTTAAATCAAGCAGAGATAAGGACGAAAAAAAGCTTTTCCAACATAAAAGAATGCAAATTTAACAAATCACAAATTTCCTTCTTATAGAAAATCCCTAATTGTAAATTTGAAACAGACCTTATCCATAAAGAATCTAAAAAAAAACAACAAAAAAACGAAATAATAAAAACAAGATGAAAGCCGCTAAATGAAGCTTGGTTGCTTCCTTGAATGGAGAACATTTCCAGTGCCAGATACAAGATGTCAACAACTATGAATTTACGTCTCATCATACAAACATCGGCTCCATCTTTGTCCTCCATGCCTGCCTGGATGACTCGTTTCCAGTGCCCACGCAGGTATTTGTCATGCTGCGCTGTGGCCAAAGTTAAGCCAAGTTGAACAGCATGTGCACAAGCACACCGTGCTGTGTGCTGCCCTTTCTTTGACACAGTGGCAAACCGCTGTGCCGCGGCACAAGCCAGTGGTGATAATGGCCTGTAGGTTGCAGTTGATTTGTTGCTGCGGAATTTCTGGAAGGAAATGTGACAATTTATTTTGTCACCGATCTCTAAGCTTTGGGTGAGGATGTCCATCCATCATTCCAGTTATCTCCTGTCATACACTTATCAGAGATTGGGTAGCAGAGGTAGCAGCTCCAGGACAAAATTTCAAGCACCCATGTCAGATGAGCCTTGATTTTTGGCTCAGATCTTTCTTCATCACGACAGACCAGACTGACATCCCTATCACTGCAGACGAGGCGCTGGTCTGGATGTCCACCTCCTCCACCATCCTTTAATCACTTGTGAAAAAGTCACCGAAAAACCTGACCTCCGCTTGAGCAACAGACTCAATTATTTTTAAAACATCCTCACCTCAGTTTTCATGTATGATTATCAAGAGGTCATTCCAGGTAAATATTTACAAGGATTTGACATTCTTACTAGGATTCACAGAGCAATATCAGTTGTTGCTGTCTTCCCACTTTTACTATCCCACATCCATATGTTAACAACTGATTTGACAGTCTATTCACACACTGCCAGCATTTTTTTTTTTTTTAATTGGGAGATTCAGAGATAAATCAGGATTCATAATACCAGAGAGGGAAAAAAAGTATGACTAAAATGCCTCCAGTAGTCATAAAATCCTAATCACTAAATGGTTACAACATGGAAAAAAAAAATTCTTAGCCATTGAGGCAGATGCTGTCAACAATTATTTCACATCCTGTCTTTACTGCCCATACTTCCACTAATCTGTTTACCTCACCATATGAATGAAGAGCTTTTTGGCTCAGGGTGAAGCAGGAGATTTGGGACAATTTTGCAGTAATCCAAACAAAATTCTCAATGGTAGCAGCGGATACCATGGGAAATCAAATGAATAGGGTCCAAGCGTCCCAGTATAGGGCAGGGAATTTCACAAGCTAGCTGTTGTGTGTGGGGAAATACCACTCCCTCATTGGCTGTTACAGATTCCAGCCCTGAAGACTTAGCTACTTCTCCCCAGCAGAATATGCACATAATTAGCCTCCAATGCCGCTAACCCTCTCCAATCAAACAGTACTGATTGAAAGTAAAGGCACCATGGGGACGAGGTAATTACCCCTGACAATGAAAGGATCCCTCACTGCCCAGACCCTTCACTGAAGGGATTGGGAGATTATTAAAATGTTGGAGGGCAGCCTGGAAACGGACACAGAAGAAGGAATATGGCTCTGAAGAAAGGGGGAAAAGAAAGAGTGGGGCTTGATTTAAGACGGCTGAAAGGAAAGACATCCTGAGCCCTCAATGTGAGACCGGTGTGTGGTTGGTGCACTTTGATACAAATGAGAGCACTGTTAGGTGATTGTTTGTAATGTAAACCAGAAAGTGTGCATAGGCCTACCTTTCTGTAGACAATCATATTGGGGGAGTCTTCCTCTGGTTCTGCAGCGCCAGTCGCTCCCTGATCTTTGGACCCCTCCGCCATTTTCAGTAAGGCCTGAAGACAAACAGAATAGCTACATCACCTCAGCTCATAGGGCTGAATAAACAGCATGTAAGTCCCTTTAATAATTTAATTTTTCTTTGTCTTGACTAAATACATTTAGGCTGCAGCTGCAAAGGAGCTGGGTTTTTGTTTAAGCCATACCGTATTCATGACAAGCTAAAAAAAAATTATCCATCTGATGATGGAAGCAAGTTGGCTTAGAAACTCAGTAGTCATAGTCTGCTTAATTGCTTGTTAGCAAACTAGCTAAAGTTTGAACTAGTATCAGAGTGAGGAGAAAAGGACATTTAATCGAACAGAAATGCTTTGTTAATGGCAGCAGACAGATGAGAATAGTTAAACTGGTTTGACATTATACAAAGGCAGCTGTAAAACAGATCAGTTACAGCCGAGGTGTGTGAAATGCAATCTCTGAATGCACAACACTTTGGTCTGTGAGCTAAGTGGGCAATAGCAGCAGAGGACTACACTAGATGCAACCCCCTCAGTTACGTAGAGGAAACTTAAACTGCAAGCAACTCAGGCTCACTAAAACTGCAACATTAACAGATGAGACAAAAAATATTGCCTTGTTCAGTTGCTCTGATTTTAGCTTCAACATTTAGCCAGGTCAGAACTTGTTGTAAAAAAACATTATAAATGGATGGTTTCTGTGTTGTTACAGTGCTTCAGGCTGCAGGCCCAAAGCACTGAACAATACCTCAGTGTTAATGTTGACCATGTCCATCCCTTTGTGAGCAGTTTTCTGATGCTTCCAGCAGAATAAATGCAGCATGCCCCACTGCTCAAATCATCTAAAAGTGGTTGCTGGAAAGCAACAATGTTCACCGTATCCCCAACAGCCTCCATAATGTTCAGACCTAAATACAACAGATTGGGGTCGGGATGCGGTGGAACAGGAAGTTTGTATTAATGAAGTGCAGCTAGCAAACCTATAGCAACTGTGTGTTGCTAACAGGTCCACATGAACTCAAAAACTCTAAGCAATGTTTCTGAAGCCTTGTCAAATAGGTTTATGAAGAATAAAGGTAATTCTGAAGGCAAAAAGCGGTCCATGTCAGTTCTCTTAATGTGCATGTAATATATTGGCCAGTGGTTGTGATTCCAGCTTAAGAGCATTGGTTTTCACATTTGTCAGCTTTTGATCAATAAATTAACTTTACCAGACATTGACTATCATTTAAGCATGTGAACATTAAATGACGAAATGTTAACCATATAAAGCAGCATCGAAATCCTCTATAGTTGAGCTCGTACCTTCCTGGAAGACAACGTATTGTACTCCTAACATGCATGTTTTTGGACTGTGTGAGGAAGCTGGAGCACCCAGGGAGAAACAAAACATCCTAAGTGCTAATAACTGCACCAGATTGCAGACCAGAATGACATTAAGAGTTTGAACTGAGCGAACTTTATTTTGTGGCACTCTATTAGATCTAATTTAATGATGGATATCTTAGACTTGACAGCACTCCCCACGTTAGCCGGCCACCACCCTGCGGTCTGAAATAAGTTGTTTTATTCACAGCTTTCAAACAGTCCCAGACACTTTGTCTGAGCTGCCACATAGACGTACTCCTAAGAAAAATAACTCTGCTTAACTCGGGATTTCTACAAGCTACACTTTATAAAGCTTCTGTTCATTGAAACAGCTACAGTGGAGCCCCGCTTATTCATGGTTGGTATAAGATTCACCTAACTGCAGATTTTTCTGTGGACTGTAACTCCCAACTTATTCATGGAAACTCCTTTTTTTTGTAGAGCATATCTAAACTATTCACAGGAAAATGCAGCTTGGGAAGCTGAAAAGTCCTAAAAAGTCCCATTGCAGCATACACAAGACACAGCTATCATGTGGAAGAATGTTCTTTGCTCAGATAAGACCAAAATAGAACTTTTTCAGCAAGCATTCAAATCAGTAAAAACGACTCCTCTGTGACATATTGTGGTGGCAGCATCATGGTAAAGGTGTATTAGAGAGATTTGGAAGCTGTTCAAAGGTAATAGAATGATGAAGGGGATACATAGAGTAGAATACTGGACGACAATAAAGCCTGTCTTCCAGCAGGATGGTGACCTTATAACTTCAGTCAGAGCTTTGATGGACTGGTTTAGAACAAAGCATTCATGTTTGACTGGCTTTTTATGACTTTTCTTTCCACTTCACAGCACTATTTTCTTTTGGTCTGCCGCGTGAGATCCCAGTAAAACACAACACAACAACAACTTCAAGAAGTGTGAAAACTTTTGCAAGGCAAAGGCTATAGCTTCATCCTGTATCCAATGTACTGGCACATCTTCCGGAGGAGGATTTGGGTTTAAATTTGTTATGTAATTTTAGCCACAAATTACACAAGTTTGAGTGAGATGAAAACAGAAACTGTCCATTTTCAGATTGCACAGCAGCAACATGCAAGGAGGGTTTGTAACCGCTGCTGTGCACTCAGGTGTATTACACCGCTGAGAATGATGATGTGCATGAGTGAATAAGTAATCACCTGTTCTCGCCTCTCTGTTTGTTATTGCCACCAGAAGCGGGGAGAGCAGCATTCCCTTTTGGTCGACAGGTTTGTGCTCCTTTCAGAGTCTGAGAACATTAGACAGCTAGTCTTTGCATCCGCCTCAAGTACTATATAGAACGGCAAGCAAGTATGGATCACATAGCACCTGCTCACAGGACACAAAAGTGTGCAAATAGATTCCTTGTGGACAGGAAGCTGTAATTTAACAGAAGACCTTCCTTCCAGTTCACCTGTTCAAGCATGCAAAAGCAAAGTCCACACAAGGCCCCTGGGGTCTGATGACTGTCTCAAGGAGACACATGCAGAGAGTCAAACAATGCAACAAAATAAAGCAAGAAGACAGAATGCACAGTCACAGGATAGAAGACTCAAATAGCCGAGGCTGAAACAAACTGGATAAACTGGGAAAGAGTTTGTGCACAGAGCATGCATACCCTGCTCCAAATTCACTAAGAACCATTCTACGACTGAAGGTCCCAAAACCCCGATCTGACTCTGTAGTGCGATGCAACATCTGTGACACCTGACAGTTGCCATCAGGGAAGGCATTTATTACCTTGAAAACACAAAAATAACGCCTGGTTCACTCTGCTCCCCCCGGTTGGCTGCCCCCTTAGCAACAAGCAGCAGGCGGCTTCATGGTGTAGCTAGCAGTAGGGAAGAGTGGATGAAGAAGACAGGGCGGTGAGGAGGGGGTGGGGGGGGATGAAAGCAGTGAAGCAAAGAGAGATGGAGAGTGAGAACTCTGAAGAAAAGGAAGCTGGATGGCCACTGCAGTATTCCTCTAGACCTCCTCCTCCTCCTCCTCCTCCTCTTCGTCTTCTCTCGTAGCCAGTCCTGCCTTGCTCTGGCAGTTGAGGAGATCCTCACATGTGTGCACCTCGTTCATCCCTTCCTCTCCCTCGGTCTGCATGCGAGCGAGCGAGAGCGAAAGACTGAGTGTGTGTGAGAGAGAGAGAGAGAACGAGAGAGAGCGTAGACACTGTGCAACGGAGAGGGGCAGATCAAGCTGAAAAAGTGGGAGGGATGAAGGAATTAGAGAGAATATAAAGAGGGAGGAGAAAGACAGGCAGAGAGAGTATGTATGCGTGTATGTGAATGTGTGTGTGTGGGGGGGGGGGGGTATGGGGGTGTTTTGGTGTGTACACACGAGAGAAACAGCAAGCAGTAGAGAGAAAGGAGGACAGAGATGCACTCTGCAGCAGCGCCCACTGATGCCGGAAAAAAGTAACAATTAAAGTGGTATTAAAATAGCTCAACCTCACAATGATTTCTAGTAGTAATAAAAAAAAAATCCAACTCCACTAAGTGAGTCTTTTTTGTTTTTTTGTTTTTTTATCGAAACGGGATTTTCGAAATCAAAAGCACATTTTCTCAGGATGATGCTAAGAAGCTGGTTCAGGCCGTGTTCTCTTCAACCCATTCAAAGTCCTGCTGCCAGGCTCCCGACAAGAAGGAATAAAATATGCCTCATCCCTCCTCAGTGTGGCAACATCTGCCTTGGCTCCCTGTTCAATTCAAAAAGGAATTTTACATTCTTCTGCTCGCCTTCAAAGGCCTCAGTGACAAGGCTGTGTGATATTTGAAAGACCTCCCTGTTCCCTTTCCTCCGAACAGAACACTGCGTTCACAGAACATAAGACTGCATGTAGCTTTTAGAGTTTCCAGGAACAAGTTTGCGGCTTTGATGTGGAATCAACTTTTTTTTTCTGGGTGGGAGTGCAGAAACACTCTGTGTAGAAATTCAGACTCAAACATTTCTTTTTACCACGGCTAATGATTGAAGGATGTGTAAAATATTCTTGCCTTATTTGTAGGACTTACATTCAGTTATTATTCATAGCCCTAGTAGATTTGGATTTGAGATAATCTCTTAATTTTAAGAACATGTCGATTCTTACTTGCAGTAATGTTAATGTCTTGTGACCCAGTCAAGGTCAGGACTTGAATGAAATAGAGAATCTGTGGATGGAACCAAAGATGATGGTGATGGTAAGAATGTCTTCCGAATATCAAATACATGAAAGAAGAAATATTTTAGAAATACCAGTGGAAACGTGTAAAAAGCTGCTTTTTGCATGTTTGAATGGCTTAACAGTAAAAAAAGATTAGCTTAACATAAAAAAAAAAAAAAAAAAGATCTGTTTTATATATTCTCTGTTGTTTGCTTGTACTCTTGCCTCCTGGGTTTTTGGATTGTAGATGGTAATTTTTCCTAGTGTACCTATAAAGCTTATTATTTTGCATTTATTTTTATCTTATTTGACCTGATTTGAGAATTTGAATTTTTACAGACACACGCATTGTGTTGGTAATGCATGCTTTTAATTTTAATTTGCTTATATATTGATTTGGTTTTTAGATTGTTTTTCTTTTTTAAGCTCACAGTAAATGTTTCATATGGTTAAACTAATGTCAGTATTAGATTACGAATGATATAATCCTTAGTTTTCAATTGTTAACACAATTTAATATGGGGAAAAGATATCAAATCATCTTGTGGGAATATATAATCGTCCTTTTGTTTAATCATGAGATAACCATGTTTTTTATGTTTTGGTTTTATTTTGTTTAATAATAATAAAAAAAAAATCAAGTGTGACAAAAAGCAAAAAGAGAATAATTCTGTCTCTCTGTCCCATTTTTGTCCAATCTTTCATTTCCTCCTTCTTTTCATGTAAACTTTGGAATCATTGAAGCTTAAATGGCAATCCAATCCATCTGACGTTTTTTTTTCTGCAGTAAATGAGATCCTAGGAGGCCCCAGGGAAGATCCGATAGAATACACGCCGTGGCCAATTTGTGAAAGCGTGCATGCAGAGTGAATAAAAAAAACAAAAAAAACACAGTCTTAGATGTTTGTAGACAGAACCCATTCACCAGTTATCATAGACTCACATCAATGGTTTCTTTCCACTCTTTCTTAGTCTTTTTTCATGCCTGCCTCTGGGATGTCCTCTCTTCACTGCTCATATTAATATTTCACATTCTCCAAAAGCACCTTGCGTGCTGCTTTAAACAAGTCTTACACAGGAAAAAAAAAGGCCACTGCTATTTACTTAACATGCTTCTGCTCTTTGGGGGAAAAAAAAAACGACAACACGCAAAAACTGCTGCTCTCTATACATTCGGCGATCCGCTGGAAGTGAGGTCACATGTTCACATATGTGGTGTGCCTGGTAGAGTGTACAAGCATTTGTTGGCCCAAAGGATTAGTGCTTACCTCACACATTTCTCTTTACAGCGGAAAAGAGCATCCGTTCACTACTTTGTGTCTCTGTGCAATCAGTGCAGAGAGCAAAATGACACCCACTCTGCCATGATTGCGGCAAACTTTAAAAAAAAAAAAAAAAAAGCGTGCTGATCCACAACATGCATGCCTTCAGAAAGACGCAGAGAACAGGCAAGCAGACGGGCAGAGAGTTCTCTAATCTGCTTTAATGGGGGGGGGGGGAGGCTGTTATAATCTGCATTACTGTGAAATTACTGAACAGCATGTTTAGACTTTCACCAGTGCAGGACAGCAACACCTCAGGCCTCCCACAGTACAGCAGATACAGCAGAGACATGTTGACTGACACAGTGCCAACACACAAAGATGCATTGGAGGCATTCAATGTTTATAAAACTTGCTGAAAATCAACGTTCATTATGTTCGCAGCTTTTATTGTATTGGAAATAACTGCAATGCAAAAGAACAGGAATTAAAGTTCCATCCCAAATCCATAATGCAGTGAAAGCTACAGCAGTGTCTTGCAAAAGTATTTACAGCCAATGACATTTTTCTCTTTTGCCACAAGCTTCTAAGTGATTTATTATTAAATTGTAAAGTGGAAGGAAAAAATCTAAGCAAAAAAAAATAATTCTAGCTCTTACTGTGTGTTTGGGTTAGTCCTGTTAGAAGCTGGTTCTCCTCACCAGTTCTCTACAAGGCTTACTGTCAGGATTGTCCTTTAATTAAAACACCTCCCCACACCATGCTTCTGCCACTTCTGTGTATCACTGCTTGTCCAGGGTGATGAGTAGTATTAGTTGTCCAACACATATAACATTTTGCAAAGTAATCAATGTATGCAAGCAATGTAAAACATTAAAAGGTTTGCTGTACATGGATTGAGTCAAACTGCAAACGAGACTTTCCATGGATTTATTTTCCTCACTCTTCTATTAAAAAAAAAAAACACATCTGGGAAGTGCACAACTAAAAGTTGTCATGTTGACGCATTCTTTCACGCTAGTAATGGATGTTTGGAGGATCTCCAAACAGAATTAATGTCAGGGTCTTGTCTGCTTCTCTGAATAAATGCCTCCTTCACCCGTCCATCAAGAGACCATCTATTGGTAGGTTAACAGATGATCCCTTTGTATTGCATTCTTTTGAGTGACCAAAGCTCTGAGAGATGATAATTATGACTTTCTTTCAAACTCACAGTTAGACTCAACTTAAAGTTGGACTGTCATCTGGGACCTAAAAAAAAAAAAAAAAAATCAGCATTAAAAGAAAATAAAACTTAAAAATCTAAGGGTTGAATACATTTGCATGACTCCTTCATCTGTATATCTATTCAGATGAGTAGAATCAAAGATTACCTTAATCTCACACATTAGAATAGATATGTGAACACATACTTAAACCTAGCTGACTCCCAGCAGTGATCACATCACTTCTTCCAGAATCAAAGGTCCTTTTTCACGCTGGATCTATTGGTTTATTACATTTAATCAATCTGTGCAATCCAGGTTTGCCTCTCCGAAGGCAAACGGCTTGTTCAATCAGAACAAAGTGGAAAAACAGCAGCTCTATGTTAATCACGACACAACAGCAGGCGGCCACCTCCTGACGGCTTTCACTTTACTTGTAAAGCCACATTCAGTAACCACAGGACCACTACAGGCTCATGTTGGAGGACACATGATGTGAAATTTTAATTAATCTTCCATAAAATGCCGCTCCGAAGGACCACGCATCAGTCGGGGTGTAATTCAACAAAATATCTTTAATAGATAGAAACACTTTTTTTTTTTTTTTTTTACACATCACAGCTCAATGGAAACATAATCACATGCTGTCACACATGTTAAGAATGAAGGCAAAGGGGTGATCTGCTCTGTCAGGGATCTCAGACTCTTCTGAGTCCAGCTTGCAGGCATTGTTCAGTCTTTTAACCCCTTATTTCCCTCTTGCATAACCCTCATTTCTCTCTCTGCTACTCCGTTAAGCAAAAATTACATGAAAAATAAAAGTATAAAATAAGACTGAAGGTGCAAATTCTTGATGATTATTAAACTTTGCTTATATATACAGTTGCACAGTGTCTGAATACAAAAGGAAGCGGTTACGGTGTGAGGTTTAAATAAGGGCTTTGGTCATCCATGGACCAGGTTTTGTGTCAGGATTTCAAGCAGGTTTTTGCAGAAACCTGCAGCTGAAATTTTCAGGGTGTACACAATATCTTAGTATGTGATTATGCACGAACAAGTACCGATTTAACATACCCTGGGAGTCAGATTGAGACCATTTCACATGCTATGGAAGGACAAACGGGTCAGTTTCATGTAGCGCTTTACATGTTGTCAAATAATCCACTGCAGCAGGCAAGGCAACAAAATGTTATACATCAAAAAGCATAAAAATAATTTGTATTTTGGATTAAAGAATTTGTCACATAGGGTGCACATTTCCTCAGGAAGCCGTCAAATATCTAACATCTCATCCTTCTCAGCCATCGTCTTTGTCATAAATAATGTTTATATTATATAACAGAAGGGCAAGAGAAAAATAAACTCCAACTTCACATATTTACAGTCATATGGATTGTATATTTGCATCTTTATGGCACCCATTGTGTTTGTACAATGTATATTTCTTTCTTGTTGTGATCATTTTCGCTGAACAGCCTGTAATTTGCCTGCACAGTTGTTTACACACAGAAAGGCCCCTTGACCTTACAGTGCTTAGTGTGTGTGCTAACATAAGGGCTCTGTGGCTACCTAGCCATGCTACCATCAAAATATATCATTTGGATTCTTATTTTGGTTAGTGGTATAAAAATAAAAGGTGTTGAGAAACGGCAACAAATCTATAACATTTAAATCTGCAAAATTGTCCATGTGGATCTGCCCAACATTAATGGATGTTTTATTTTATTACAGCTTTATAGCTGTCAACATGTTTAGTTTCATTCAGGTGAGCTGAAGAACCCCAGTACCGGTCAGAAGTTCATAAAGAGATCATCACCGTGAAGGCTTTTGATGATGTATTTGAACTGTTTTTTTCCTCATTTTAATTCATGACAAATTCAATGGATTTTAAAAGCAAGAATGCAATGTTTTTTTTTTTTTTTATTGTTGAAAAGGAAAAAAAGAACTGTCCTAAATGCATCATTAAAAAAACCACAAATAACATGACTTCCATTTTCTTGATGAAGGAATGTAAACTTCTGATCAGCAGTGTAAACGGGGTCAGAAGCTTTATATCCCTTTAGGTTAGTTTCAACATTTCCTTCTCTAACATGCAAGGATGCCACCAAAGCATTACATAATTGTATGTACTCCCAGGAGGGGAGTGCATGCCGATAAAATCTAACACAAACTGTTCGTTTTCTCCGTCCTCCTTTTGAGTCTTTAGCTGTTTTCATGATTAGCTTTTGTTTTTTTACAGACCAAGTAGGATGGCATGTAAAGTAATGCTGGAGCTGGTTTGATAAGGAGACCAACATAGAAAACAAACATCAGCTTCAGTAGTGGTTAACATCCCAGTGGAGAGCAGCTGACGTCTGCGGGCATCAGTTCATGTCGATGGTGTTGAAGACCCACTCTGTGAATTTCTTGAGCTTGGCTGAGGCGCTGTAGGATTCCTCCAGGAGACGCTGGTTGTCCTCTCGCAGGCTTTGGATCTGGACTTGCAGTGACGCTTTGGCGTCTTTCTCCTAATATTAAACAAATAATACAGGTCAGCATCTCGTGTTCCTTTTCTTCAATACTAGAAACACCATTAGGTTATGTAGCTCACCTTCTTCAGGTCCTCCTGCAGCACTTTCACCATGGACTCTAACTGGCTCAACTTACCCATCAAACACGGCGGAATCTCTCTGTAAAACACGACAGCCAGGAAATTAATAACCCGATGCTCTAACTGTTGATTTTACAGATAAGTGTGCAGTCAGCCAGCAAAAGGAAACTAATTGATGTCATTAGCTGCAACAGTATGTGACTGGAAGGAAGTGTGCCGGGTCTTCCACGGTGTCAGCAGAGATGGAAATGAGGGAAATAAAACAAACGTTGACGTCTTGCCATGACCTGAGACCCCTTACCCGGGTGACGGCTGTCTCTGTGGAGCCGCCTGAGGCTCGGCCTGCTGGGGGCTGGCAGCTGATGTGCTCTCAGCCGTAGAGCTCTCCTCCTGGGCTGCTAGGAAAACCAGTCTCTGCTCTGGAAAACACAAACGATGTGCTGTTAGATGTGAACGCAGAAGAAAAGTTAAGTAGTGGTGCCCTCGTCTGGCAGAAGCACAAATAACAGCTGGGTTATTTCACGGGTTCAGAGTCCAGTTTAAAAAAAACAAAAAAAAAAAAACACTTTACCGCACACAGTTTTACAGTTGTCAGCCTTAACACATGGAAACTGCACAAACTATATAGGAGGATGGGTATATACATTGATATAACTTTTAGATAAGGAATTATTTAGATATTAACTTCGAAAAAAAATCTAATTATATACTTTTTCCAGATTGTTTTAATCAGCTTTAGATTTAATTTTTGGGTTTTATTTTTTAAATTAACCAACTCAGTTGCACGTTCCTGTGGACTGGAGTATTTTTTATTGCTATATTGCAGTTATGTTGAAATGTTGTCCTTTCTGTACAGTATTTTTATTCCATTCTTATTTTTTATATTCTACCTTAGTGCTATCTGTTTTTGCCTGTTACTTTGCTGCTGTTGCATAGAAATTGTACTTTAAAGGACATTTCTATTCTATGTTCTTCAGTCAGTTATTCCACATCTAATTTTAAACATAATGAAGATGCAAACTTGCCCTCAAAGGCCTTGGCGGCGTCCACCAGGTGAGCCCAGTCCAGCGGGCCGTCTGCTCCGGTGTCAGGCAGGGGCATCAGAGCAGGATCCTGCAGTTGCTGCTTCTTCATCTCCTGCTCCAGCTCTGAGCTCTCTGGGGCGGTCAAGTCTCCTGGGGGTGAAGCAAAGGGAGATTAAAACCCTCTGGACTTCTCGCTTGGCTGCTCCTGCGTGACAAACTGAAGACAGAAACTGACCCAGAAACCTCGTTTGTACCTTCAGTAAATCCACATCACAACAAATTACACATTCAGGTGTTGCTGTCGAATGAAAAGAATCACCAAGAGATTTGTGCGATGCCCGGCGACGTGGACCGTGCCGGACGGTGGGCGAGCGTGGGATGGTGGAGCAGGTGAAGAGAAGGTCAGCGGATGTGTCACACTGTCCACTGGAGGTGGACTCCCTCTGTCCGCTGTAAATACTCTCATCTGACAGCGTCCTCTGGAGGGAGCGGCGGCTGGGAGGAGGGCCTGGGAACAACGGCTTCAGACGGACACCAAAACAGATCGAGAGTGACAGGAGTCACAAAATCAGTGCCAGGAGGTGATGAACTGGAAAAATGACTTCAACGTTAAACAGAATTGTCAGTCGCTCCAGAATGTTGGTAAATGACCAGAAAATATGGCATTAGGAATTACATATGTGGTCTAGTTATAACATCACTGGTACTGATTACAGCTGCGTTTTAGAAGATATTTTCCAATATATTTAGTAACATTTCTATACAATTAATGCCAATATTTAAAATAAATACTGTTTTCTATTGTTATATAGATTAAAACTGTGTGAGGTGAGTCAGACTGCTTAGTATTATTAATATCAGCATCAAGTTTACTATTTAAACCATCTGCCCACTACCTAAAGTCATTTAGTTTTACATTAAAAGATTTATTTGAGATGTCAACATCTTTCATTATTGTTCCACTTGCTCCAAGCAATAATTTAAGGCTTTCAATGAACCAGATATTAATGTCTTGGACAGTGGGAGGAAGATAGAGTGAAGGAGAAAGACCTCTAGCGAGAATTCAAACAGAGTCTCTACCATTAATAATTTTTCTTCAAAGATTAGAGAGGCCGACTACATTAACATGCCATGAATTGATCAAAGTAAGGTGAATATTACCAGAGACTAAGCAGAAAATATTACAAACTTTCCTAATCTGGACTTGACATAATTGAGAATGGTAGAGAAAAAAAAAAAAAACACATTAATTTATCAAACATTACATATTTGAAGGCAGGATATGTTGAAATCAGGATTTATTTTTTTCCTGTGCTTAAAACAGTGTTGCAGAATAAACTGGAACTGCGGTTGTCTTCCGAGGCCTAGCCATTAATCAATAGAGGTGTGACGTGTTTCTCAGTACAATATGTGAACATCTGACTGGTCATTTCGAGATTGGCCACCGCAGACATGATTCCATAAATGCAACTTGAGCATTCCTGCACCTAGTTACACGTTTTTGATAAATGAGGCCAAATAACTTCATCATTTAGTTTTTTTATGTACAATTTGTTTATTCAATGCCATTTAAAGTCATAAAATCTGTTTATCCATTAACTTAATTTCTGTTGAATTCATGCAATCCAGCCATGTTGGTTACAAACCAACAGGAGATAATGTAATTTTTAAATCATTACTATTAAGTTAAATGTTTAGCACAGGGATTCAAATAGATTGATTTTCTGCTACCTTCTCTTCATTTGTTGTAGGTGGTGGGCTGTCAAGAGTGATCAGCTTCTTCAGGTCTTCTTCCAGGCTGGATTTGGCAGTCTGGCGCTGGGGAGACTGGGAGCCGCGGAGATTGGCCCTGAGCTGGGGCTGACCACCAAGCAGGCCGTCACTCTGGTGGCGCCTGGAGACAAAAAAACAAAAGAAAAAAAAAAAAAAACAGTTTTTGTCAGGAAACATCTTATAACATATAAACTTGCCTAAATAAGCAAAACTAATAAGGTAAAAGCTTTAGAAGAAGCCATATCAACAAGCCATGATGGTGGATACGATCCCAAAATAAGATTCCTGAAGCTTATATAACAAAAACTGAAGATACAGATCCTTCGCTGCCTTAAAACAGGGTTAAAAGTCGGGTATGCCTCAGGGGGGCGCTGTTGATCGACTTTAAAAACTGTTCATCACATTTAAAGTACCAGTTAAAAACAAATCATTTTCTGCCTTACTTGCGAGTGCTGCCAAAATCCACGGAGTTCACGGTTCCTCCAGGCTTCTTCCAGCCAATCAGGTACTTCGAGGTGGCTCCTTGACGCGGATAGAAGCTCTTGGTCCCCGGGGACTGGGGATTCTGGGATGTGGGTGACAGGTCTGCTTCGTTCTGTGGTGACGAGGCGCTGCAGCTCTGTCCCGTTGGACTCTCTGAGTGACCAGAGCTGACAGAGCTGGAGCGTTGAGACACAGACGTAAAACATTTGTAAACATAGTTGAATGCATTAGCTTAAGCCTGTGAAAACGATCATAATGTGAGCGCATGTTGCATTTGAATGACAGAAGCATAGTTAATTAATATAGTTTGGCCTACATGCGTAATGTTTCATATATATTTTGAAGGCTCCTTGATTATGGTACAGAGTCACGTCACTGTCAAAATAGAAGCAGGGCCCCATCTCCTCTCATGTCGTCATTTTATTCTTAGTCTAGAAAAGTGAGAATTTCATTGTGTGCGTGTGTGAGTTATAAAACTCAACCGCCAGCAAGATGTCTGCAGGAAGAGAGTTATTTCTGTCTGAGTGAAAGGAGAAAATAGCTTTCCTTCATTCAAAAGGAAGAGGATTTAGAGAAGAGGGAGCAGTGCTGAGCTATGACAGATATAACAAATACGCTCTTCCCCTCTTTCTGCATAAATCCCAGACCTTACGCCCTTCATGAGGAGGACTATGCAAGTCATATATGCACCACAAGAAACCAGTTTACTTAGAAAGTGAGAGATGTACACCAAAAAAGAGAACGGCAGCCCACCTGGAGTGGGACGCCGCATCACTCATGCTGTATGCGGCGCCATCAGGAGCCACTGTAAAGCCGGTTGGGCTCTTTGCCGATATCTCACTGCCTCCGGCGGGAACAAGAGAGTCTGGTGTTGGAGGCGACGTGGTGGAGGCTCTCTCACAGCTTCCCACCTCGTCCTGCCAGGGGATTTTTTCCTTGGACCTGAAGGCACCGGTGGAGGAGGCCGTACTGCTCTGGGTGGCGGTAAAAGAGGTGGCGTCGATGCCGCTGTCAGTGGATGTGCCCTGAAGGTAGCCGTTGAGCTCCAGGTCGCTCCGCGCTCCGGACCGCGAGCCGACTTCGTACCACTTCTCGTCACTGTGCGCCGAGCTGGAGGCGTTGCTGGACAAGGTGTTGCTGCTCGACTGGCTGGACGAATACGGCGCATCGGCCTGTTTACAAAGGAGGAAAAGTAAAATAGTCCGCATCAGCTCATGTAGAGGAGAAAAAAAACTAGGATGCTCAATTCATTGAAATAGTCAGGTCGTAGCAATATTTTAATCCTGCCTGCCTGCCCTTGGCACAAACAGTGTTGGTTGTGAGCATTAGAAGGAATCAAACACTGGTTCTTCTGATGCAGTACCTCACATTTTTATTTGTAAACTTTGTTTTATAAGAATGAATATTTGGGATCATTGTTTCTTAATCATCCCTAAAAATACACTGTAGTTTGTGTTTGCATTATGTCAAAAAGTGAAAAAAGGAAGAGGCATCTTTAAACTCTGCCTTAAAGATGCAGCGCAGTGATTGCTGATTGGTGGTTACCTTGGTGTTTTTGTTCGGAGACAGGCGGCTGCTCTGATCTGAATGCTGGAGCCGAGGAATCACAACCTTTGAAACTACGGTATCTATAAAACACAAGTTAATCAATAAAACAAACTCCCAAAACATGAATTTTTTTTAATATATGTATTAATTAATTTATTTATTTATTTATCTCTGAGGATTTCCCAACCTGAGCCAGTTTTGGCAATGTCCATCCTGATTGCGATGTCGCTGTCCGCAGGTCTGGACCATGCAACAGCAGAACACACCTTGACTCCGTTGACTCCATCAGTGGCCACCTGCCGCACAGACGTGACAGGCGACTGGGAGTTGTTATTAAACCTGCACAGGACAACAGGAGGATTATTTAATGCACCATAATGCCACAGGCCATGATGCAAAACAAAAAGAAGTCGGTGAATTCCGTGTCTCGGTCGGCAGACAGGCTCACCCGTCAGGCACAGGCTTCTGCCTCCACTGGTTTGAACTCATTGTGTCGGTGTAGGAGAGGTTAGAGGGCGAGTTTGTGCTGTGCAGCGTGCGACCCATCACAATGGAGCATGCCAGAGCGTAGTTGTCATTCCCTGGGGAATATCTACAAGTGGACATATGGGTGACATTAAGGACATATGCTGCAAACAGACAGATAAAATTCAGCACGTCCGATGTATTGCGTAACAGATTTATATCCATCCTGTGACCTTTTCGGGTTGAGAGGCCGACCGTCGCTCGACACACTGCGAGGAATGGCGGCGCTGTTGCGGTCACTGAAGTCTGTCGGCGGCGCCTTGATCAATGTCCCCCCTGCGGCGGCAGAGCGAGGGCTGGATGAGCTGCGAGGCCACTTGGCGTTGTTGTTTGTTGGCCGGAAAGGGAACTTTAACTCGTAGGGCATGCCCTCTTTGTGGTTCTTGTAGTCCACAAGGGGCATATGGTAGATTTCAGAGCAGCCTCTGTTGTCGGCACACAGAGGACTCCAAGTTAAGACACTGAATAAATATTTATACATGTCTGAAATTAAATTAAACATTTATATTTCACCTGCGAGGAGTGGAGTCCTCATGTGGTGGAATAATGACCACCTTGACGGTGACAGAGGTTCTGAGCAGGTCAATCATCTGCTCATGGGACAGCGAGGCCACAGACACCTTGCAGATCTCCACCAGTCGGCTGCCCTGCCTCAGCCCAGCCTGCCAGGCGTAGCCGTATGGCTCCACTTCGGCTACGATGCCCTCAAAGTTGACATGGAAGCCCAGCTGGCCCAAGGCGTTCCGGCGCAAAGTCATCTCTGTGGTCTGGCTGCCTTTGGTCAACAGCTGCAGAGGAGGCAGTGGTAAGTGGTGAGTGTTACATTGGACATACATAGATGACAGGGACAAGGTATGAAGGAATAAGCATGGACATTTTCAAAATATAACAATTTTTAGTTGTCCCTGTTCCTCACTTTGGAGGGACATGTCACTGCTTAAAATGAAGAATTCATTGGCATGCAAAACATAGTGACGAAATCATACATTGTAGGATTTATAATGGAGTCAACACAACAACGTTTGGATATTGTATAGTTGGTCACTATGTCTCTATGTAGCTATAATAATAACAACAATAGTACTATAAGATTTTAATCAGCTTTTCCTAAATTCTTAATAGCTGTAAGAGGCACAAATTAGGAAAAAGTGGCTACACGTCAAAATAAATAAAGATTTAAAATTAAATTCTTAGCCTTCACCCCATTTCTTATGAATAAGGCATTTAGTTGTCAAATAGAAATACACTCAAATTAAAATATTTTCTCAAGTAAATTTTAAAACCACAACTTTTATAATGTGTAGATTGACTACATAAATCTCATTAAGTTTTATAAATATGGTTATAAAGCCAAATTTGGGGTGTTTTCACAAAGATCAGACGTGGGAAAAAATTACTACTTTTCTCTGAAGGCAAGTGGTTCTATTCCTAAAGACAAAAAAAAGCCAGTTTACTATTGATATTCACATGCCATACATCATTTTTTAAAATTATTTTTGTTCCATAAATTTAAGCTGATAATCATGTAACTGGCTTCTGGAAAAAAAAAAAAAAGTGCCTTCTTTTCTGCCATGACCTCACTAACATAATCTATAACTGTTGTTAGTAAATTGGCAACACATTACCAAAACTCTAAATCATCACCATCCTATAATAATGGCCTACATAATTTTTTGCCAAAAAATGATCCCTTTTATTGCCGAAAGATGATTTAGGCAAAAATGACTCTTAGGCCATTATTTTAGGAAGGTAACAAAATGCATTCTAAATACAATAGTATAATTCTTTTTCTTTTGGTGGATGGTGATGTCTGCGGCATGTTTGACAACTGTTCAACAACGCATGCAGTCATGCAAAGAAATTAGTTTTTACATACAGAGAGAATCGATGATTGCTCAGATTTTTTTAATGAGTTTCCTCATTTGTAAAATTATCTCAATTGCCATCTAAATTAAGTACCAGGCACCAAACCACATCACTCACTGACCTCCAGTCTTTTCACAACCTCTCCGAAGTCCTCAGTGTTGTTGTTGATGGACCGAAGCGACACACTCTCTCCGCGCTCATAGTAGATCTTCAGTGAGGCGGGGCTCCCAGTCGACCAACCAATGATGTCACGCGTGGCGCAATTAAACACGACTGCTTTGGCCTCCTGATCCAGCAGGATCATGAAGTCATTTGAAATGGCCAGCAGGCATTCCCGTTCAGCGCCTGCTACCTGGTCTTCGGCATGAACCTGCCAGGTTATGGCCCCGAGACTACGCAGCTCCGCCCCGCTGTACGGGCGCACCTTCTCCCGACGCTTATGTGCCAGAGAGATGAAGGGAAACTTCCCAGCAGGCTCCACGGGTGTGCTGGTCACGTGCCGCTCCGCCAAGTCGCGCAGGTACTCCTGTCGCGTGCGCGTTGCCATGGCGCCGAACTTTTCCGACTTGTGCGCTGCGTTCTCAGCGTTGATGACCTTGGCCAGCAGGAAATCCCGGAAAACAGTGGACTTTGGGAAGGTAACTCCCTTTGGGATTGGTGGACCAAAGGAGGGAACGTCCTGCGAACGGGTGACGGCAACGCTAGAGGTAGAAAAAGATAAGGCAGGGGTGATCTTTTTTTTTTGAACTTCTAAAATAAAATAAAATAAAATGGCCTTAACCTATAAAATGTACCGTTTAGAAAATATTTGATAATACAAATAAATGAATGAAATGAACGATGCGCAAAGAAGAGAAAATAAATAAATTATAAATATCCATAGTAAATAAGTTATTTAAATACAATCACCCAACATATAGCAAAGTATGAAACTAAAGTGACACTGTGTGAAAACGGCCGAAGTGGAAAAACAGGCACCAAACTGGTTATTAGCACAATGCATTCATTCCCCCTTTTGTCACATTACAACCACAAACACAAAGGAGTACATACGACTGCATTTTGTGACCGCATCTCTGTGCAGGGGGAATGAAAACCAGTGGAACATTTTACACTAGAGAGTAAAATTATAGTAAATGTAAGCGAATTACTCAAATTCAAAGAAAAATGATGCATGATTCTGCTGGAGGCATTTTCTAGCTGAAAGAGTTTTCCTTTCCTCTGTCACCACATGTTTGCTCAGAATGAGGGGCTGCTGTCAAGTCAGCAACTCAATGCAGTCAAGTGTTTCCTGTTGCCATATGCCAGTTTGAACTGGCCTCTTACTAAAGTCTTAAAACAAATTCTCTCTGATTTTATTTGTATAAAAAAATAACTATGAATTTTCTTCCAATTAAAATATTGAATATTGTGTTTTAACATACTAACTTATGGAAAAGTTGGAATGTCCTGCAAAGGCATAGTGTTGACGTGTTTGTTTCCTATTAAGTGTTGCCTTTGACCTATTTAATTAATATAAAGAAAGGTGTTAAATTCTTACAGAACTCTCCTCCTCCTGTTTCCCTCCACTGCTCCAGTTCCAACAATGGAGTTAAATTGCTATTAATTGGTGAGAAGGTTTGTGTGACATTCCCCGACACCTGTTGTCGACAGGAACCTTGGCACAAAACCAGGAAAAGGAGGTTTCATTCACAATCAAATAGCTTCACCATTGTAGGAGAGATTTGCTTCAACTTACATGTTTGACCCTCTACTTGCTTCCTAAGAGAGGGATTCAAACACATTCAGAAGCTTGCAAACCAAAAAGCTAACCAGTAGTAAAAAGCAACACTCTGTATATGATAAGCTGATGTGACAATCCTGACAAGACTTGATTCACCCCATTAAACTGATCACACAGCCAATGCCTGAACACCACGATTTACTCGCCTTGACGTACAAAAACTACACATTCTACCTCAGATGACAAGCCAGCTTCCACTGCTGTCAGCCTGCTATGATCTGCAATACCGTGGTATGTAGAATGAGCACAGCGGTCAGACAAACAACCTACATTTCTCAAAGATCTGCTTATGCAATCCAGCTTGCTGGCCTCGTATGACTTTGAGGCAGCGGTTGAAAGCAGCAGATTAGCAGCATTCTGGCTTTAGGCCACTTACTCCTCTAATGCGCTGTACTGGCTCAATATGACCAAAGCATTACCCAAATCTCAGCAGCAGGCAACAACAGACCATTAACTGTGTGACTCAACAAATCATAACAAACTCCTTATTAACAGAGATTGGAAAATACCCTTCAATAAAATTTTGCGTGAAAAAAAAAAAAACTCTCTTCATGAAAATAAAATATTTTCAAGTAAGTGCATATGAGGCGACAGTTTGTGCCTTAGTAAAGCAAAATCAATTCACTGAATCAGCAAAACTGCACAGCTTTAACTACTTTAATAAAGTATTAATAACATCAGGGTTTCAGAAAGTTTCAGAAAATGTTTAACTTTTTAAGACCATAAATAGACTTATGGTACAGGAATCAAAAGAAAATTACTTCTGTAGGTTCAGCTTAATTTATGTGTTATTTAAGTTGGTGTTTTTTGACTATCATGTAGTTCCTGTGTGTCTCCAGGTCATTTAATTCTTTGGCCAATATGTACTGAA